TTACTTAATTTTTGAGCTGACTGATTATCGTTGAATGTAGTAATCGTATTTTGTCTGACCCCGGTCCTCTAATAATGATTTTAAATGTATTGCCTTTTTTGTAGCTTCTGTTAATAAAACGTATTTTGCTTCTGCACTTGATAAGGCAACGGACCTTTGCGTCTTTGCTTCTAAACTATAATACAGCTGTTTGCATACTTGAAACAATAACCAGTATATGATCTTCTGTCCACAGAACATGAAGCCCTATCGGCATTTGCTAATCCATATATTTCTCCTCCTTCTTTCTTAAAATTTATACCTATGGATTTTATACCTTGAAGGTCAACATAGATTGCTAGTAGCATTTTTACTCCATCCTTTATGAAATTATAGACACATGGATCTGCTTTAGATGCAACAACATCTAAATCTTTTAATTCTGTGTCTAATTTTGTATACCATTGTCTTCCAGATTGTTTTAAACCATAAAGTGCTTTTTGCAACTGGCATACTTTTTCCCTGTATATTTTTGAATCTTCTAACAGTTGCTTAGTTTTATAAAATGATGTGAGATATTCATTTACACTTTCTTCAATCATTATTTCTGTTAGGTATTTCTCTAGATATTCAGGTTTTTTCATTATAATAGTTTCATTTATGTTTCCATTGAGGTATGTTGTAGTAACGTCGAATTGATATAAGTTTAAATCTTGTTCTACAGCTAAATCTAATAGTAATCTGATTGAACTTAACTTTGCTAGGGGAGCATATGTCTTATTAAAATCAATTCCAGGTCTTTGTGTAAAACCTTTAGCTACTAGATGTGCTTTCTTTGTCTCTCTGTCATTTAGTCTAATTTTTGTTTTTAATATCATCTTAAAATGGACAATATTTCTATTAGTATCCTTTTTCTTTATTTTTAACGTGTTCCTTTAACTTTTTGTTGCTTCATGCCATTCTTCTCCATTTGTTTCATTGTCTGTCTCACATATAAAGGTTATGTTAGATATATCTCCATCTCCATATAATACATTGTTTTTAACTTTTCTGGAATTTTTCTTTCACGCAACGATCTTCCACTTGTAGCTGACTTCTGCTGAACAACTGGTTCATTCTGAATAACTGATTCATCCTGAATAACTTGTTCGTGACCTATTGGAAGTAAATTTTATTGTATATCTTCTTCTAACATATCTGTCTCTTTAAATTCGTCTGATATTACAGTAGCATTATCTTGTTCTGCATCAGTAGGTATATTATCTAGATTAAGATGACTCGAATTAGGAAAATATGAGTGGTAATTACATTGTTAGAAATTTTTCCATCATCAGCATCATCGTTTCCTTCTTTTATTCGTTTATAAAACATTCCATCAATAACTTTTACGTCTCTACTTATAATCTTTTGATTTTTGCTTGGTACATAATGTTTTGTAAGGTTTTGAGCGTTGAACATATCCTATAAACACGCATTCTATTGCTTTTGGAGTAAATTTACTTCTTCTTATTAAGGATAAATGCATTTGAATCAAAAATATGTACTCCAAACTGAAAAAAGAAAAAAAGCAATAAAAGAGATAAATGCATCGGGGTCAACCCTAATACCGCGTAGGCCCTCTTCTACTTCTTATTACTGCATTCATGAGTCGCGGCATGCTTATTATCAAATGTTCAACAAAAGCTTGCGGTATATTCTCACATTCTTCAATAGCGACCTCTATGAGTTGGTTGTGATTAGAAACAGGGGGTCTATGACTTCGAATCCTCTTTTTGAGATAGTCCCATAGATGTTCTATAGGATTCATATCCGGACTGTTAGGTGGTCACTCTAATAAAGGAATATTAACATCATGTAAGTAACCAATAACCTGTCTAGCCACATGGGGACGAGCGTTGTCCTGCATGAATAAAAAATTGGGCCCAACAAACGGAGCAAAAAGCATTACATGTTCGACAATAATGTTGTCTAAGTAATATTGGCCATTCATAGACCTCGTACGTATAGGGACCAACTCCGTACGAGCATTAAAGCAAATTCCTCCCCAAAACACCACCAAAAGGCACTTTAGGAGAGATATTACAGCTGGCAAACCTTTCTCCTTGTCTTCACCAGACACGCTCACGTCCATCTGGAGCTTTAAGGCTAACTCTAGTTTCATCGGAGAACAGAACCCGTTTCCAATCATTGATGGTCCAATTCTGATGTAGTCTTGCAAGATTTAATCTCTGAACTTTGTGTTCTCTGGTAAGCAAGGGTTTTTTGGCTGATCTTCTGTTGCCTAATCCTGCTTCATGTAAACGTCTTCTAACCGTTCGAGACGATATAGCGATATTTCGAACATCTGCTAATTTATTTTTAAGCTGATTGCTGGTTACTCTCCTGTCTTTAAGAGCACGTTGTCTCAAAAAACGATCGTCAATTTGATTAGTGCAATGTTTTCGCCCTTGTCCTGGTCTTCGATGGTACGAACCCGTTTCATTATGTCGCCTCACTATGCGACTGATGCTGGAATGATGTCTTTCTAACAAACCAGCATCATATCGCATTGAATATCCTTCATTCAGGAGAATCGATGCTCGCACTGCCTCCTCCAGTGACAGATTTCTTTGACGGTAACAGAAGCTTTGGACTTTTTAAGAAAATGTTAACATAGTTTTAGTCTAAAACGAGGCTTAATACGAATTACTGTCAAAACAAGGTATTACGTGACACTAACTAGCTTAAAAAACAACTGTCACTGTCAAACAAGGTCCATGGCCTACTTGTCGTACAGTAAGTTATCAATAAATAAAAATTATCGAGCAAAATATAAGTGGTGCGTTAAGTGGTGCGTTAATTTTGTCCAGGAATTTATTTATTATGATATTAAAACCAAATCAAGTACTCTACTCTTAATAAACAGGTCCAGGTTTAGATGTTCGTAATGAATTCCAACATTAACCACTGGTCACAAACAGAAAAACTAATGAGATACAATATTGAATAAAACAATAAACAAATGATCAAAATCGTATAGCCTACTTATAGTTCACGCCCATAGGTATATGAGTTAAGTTAATTTGACAAGAAAAGAAAACGTTTTCACGTCAAAATGTTAGGTATCTATGTTTTGTTATTCTCACAATGTTAATAATAATCTCACATATACCTTGATTTACGTATTACCTAGTTGTCAGTTACACAATTCATAATAAATAAATTATTACAATGTAAGAAAGGACAGGAAAGCACGAGAAAAGGATGGATATAAATGTGCATAAATAAGAGTAAATAAATAAAAAGAGATGGTGCGATGTGATGTGCAACGACTGGCTATTTTAAAGGTAGGGCATTGCCCCTATGTGCCCCCCTTTGACTACGGCTCTGACCAACGGAAACAAGCGATAACATTTTATAATAATTTAATCAACGAACTACAAATATCAAAACCAGCGAATTTTAAACTTTTGTGATAGTTACAATGGCCGTTGGGACGGTGCCAACATTGTCAGAAGGAAAAGAAATTCTCTTTAAGATAATAAGTTCATTATTCATAACTTTCGCTTCTTTGAAAACTTCTAACTTTTTCACAAATCATCCCCATTATTAAGATAATATTTGCTTAAGCTATTTTCTTTCCATTCGTATTAAAATGAGTTTTCAAAAATTACGTTATTACAATTATCTATTTCTGTAATTGGATTTTAGTTAATAGATTCATCTGTCTTCAAATAAACTCCTTTAAAACTGAGTTTTAGCTATAATAGAAACGTACAAAAATCATAAAACTTTTTATTATAATTTTTAGTCTTCTCTTTAGAATCAATAAACTTGTGAATTCAGTAAAATAGTTTGCCAAATTTTATTATATAAAGGTACAGTATCTTTTTTATTGCAAAATCGACGTTTCATAAGTTTTCCGTTGACTATAGGGAGCATAAAGAATCACGAAAGGCCAAATCAGGTGAATTGCGTGTCTTTTGCGCCTTATGCTATCTTTTGGGACCGCCTGAAGTAAAAATTACCGATCTACGCCAACATTGGATCCGTACAATAATGGTAAGGCATACAAACAACCGCTTGGTATCCATAAATTTGGAAAAATGCCAGAAAAAATTGCAAAATTTTTAAAATTACCGACCCCACAAGAATTTACTGGGCATTGTTTTCGCAGAAGTTCTGCAACATTGTTGGTGGACTCTGGGGCAGATATAACCACGTTAAAAAGACATGGGGGTTGGAGAACATCAACAATAGCCGAAGGTTATATTGAAAGCTGTAAAAACAAATGTTAGTGAAAGACTTTTTTCAGATCCCAAAGAACAAAATATCATCTGTTGTAGCACTAGTTCACAAATAAATAAAAATAATTAAACTATGATTACCAAAGGCAAAACGGATTATCAAGCCAGTGGAATAATGTTGGAAAATTGTTCGCAAATTACTATAAATATTCACAATAATCATTAATATGTATTATATGTAGAATTTCATTTGCTTACATTTTTATTATGTTCTGTGTTGTATTCTGTTTTGATTTAATTATGAATGTTACAGTTAAAATTATAATAAAATTCTGAATTTTGTCTTTCTTTTTATAACTAAAAGGCATCGCTAATAACGCGACAGTTATCGTTATTTTTTAACTTATTTTTAACCGGTCCAGAATGTCCCTAATATAGTTAATTTATTATACAGTGAATAAATTTACTAGAGTAACTTTTTTGATCGGATACTCATGCAGAGCAATATTTCAAAAAAAAAAAAGAAAAAAATTATTTTTTTAACGCCTAGGTATTAAAAATCATTTTTACTGCCTAGGCATTAAAAATAATTTTTGCTGCCTAGGTATTAAAAATCATTTTTACTGCCTAGACAGTAAAAGTGTTACTTCTATGATCTATAAATGTCACTAAAACTGACGTTTAATGTCAATTGGAGAAAAAAACTATTTTGTATTTTAAAGTGTGATAATTCGTTTGAAAGATAATTTTATATTTTGTACTTTTAGATTAGTTAAAAGTAATAATTAGACTTACCAGTTTTAACCAAATATTAGTAATAAGAAGCTGATTTTTTTCGTCCTGAAACAATCAAAAAAAACTTTCAGTTCGACATTAACAATTATCATTTGAATGAATTTACCGTACCGAACATGAATGAAATAGATTTTGTTCATTTTTTATTTTCATCTTTATTTAGGATGTTCAAATATCAACATTAATTTTTTTCTGTTTTTATTTTTTACAGAATGTTTTGCAATTGAAACATCACATTTAAATTAGATCCAGTTCGTCAATTTCGATATTTACAAACGCGGAATTCGTTTCAAGCAATATCCAGCAAGGCATATATATATTTTATTATACCGCCTTTTAAATATAATAAAAAATCAACTTTTCTCTTTTCAGACTTTTCATTTATCTGGATGAAAGAATCCGATTTTGCGGAAAATGAACTTGTTATATTACAACATACAGGGTGGCTCAAATGTGTTGAATAATGAGTATAACTTTTGAAATATCGAAAATATTAAAAAATATAAGTTCTCCAAGGAAGCTAAACTTTTTTTAAATTGTATACACCCTTTTTTAACAGAATTTGAAAGAAACTATTTTTTCATTATACCGGCGTATTAATTATCAAAACTATTGTCATGTGATCACCCAAAGCCGACTCTGTTCTTTGTTTACCTTACCGAGCCATGGTGTCTGGCCCGCTGTTGAGATCGAGAGTCGTCTCGAATGTTTTCTTTCGTAGTCCAACGCGTGGATAAAGCATTTCGAAGAGTTTCTAGACCGTCGAGAATCTACTAGAGCAGGGCTGGCTTTAAATAAATAGCGCAACATTGTTTAGCAGTTCAGTTGAAGTTTATGTACAGAGTCTCAATATAAATGTAAGTAAATAGTGGACAAGAATGGCTAAAAAAAATTTGTGTGATTTAAAAGTGTCTGAGATGGGTCGAAAACTGGAGGATCGTGATCTGGAGATGACAGGGATAAAAAGCAGAGCTGGCAGAGCGACTTAAAGAAGCACTAAAAAGTGAGGAAACGTATCTATTTTCTGATAATTTCTTGTAAAGTAAAATGTCTTCCATGATAACTGATATTTGTTCTAACATTTCTTCATTAGAAAACAAAGTTTATTTTATAAAAGTGATATTTCTTCCTTAGCCAATAACGTTTCTTTCTTGGAAGATAAAGTCTCTTCTGATATCTCTTCTTTAAAAGATGAAATTTCTTCCGACTTTAAAAGCAAAATGTCTTCTATGGAAAATACATTTCCGTTTAATATTTTTCTTTAGAAAAAAAGGTGTCTTCCGAAATGCTTTCTTTAAAAAATGAAATTTCTGCTGATGTAGAAAATAAATTTGATGACTTCCGTTTAGGAGAAAATAATGTCTTCCGTTGAGGAAAAAATATAATAGATGGAAAAGAAGATAGAAGAACTGGAACATTCAGAACACCAAGGACGGTAAAATAAAGTGCATGAGGTGGAGTTAACATTGAAATTGGAAGTAACTGTCAATTCTGCTCGTGTTAAAGCCGCAACTTTCGACGAAAAGATGCCGTGGACCAATATCCTGAAACAGTTCAAAACAGCTGCCAGAGCAAACGAATGGTCTGAAAAAGGAAAGGCAGTAAATTTGAACATCGTCCTTCGAGGAGACGCTTTAGATATCCTTCAGAATATACCTGTAGAAGAGACGGATGACTCTGGACAACTCAAAAAGAGACTAAACATGCGATATGGCCACGAACACTTGGAGCATTTGTATCAATCACAGCTAAAAAATCGCAGACAGAAACGTGACGAGACTCTTCAAGAATATGAAGTAGATATTGCCAGGTTGGTGAGATTTGCCTACCCATCAGCTTCAGAAAACATGATGGAATGTTTGACAGTCCGAACCCGAGAATACCGATCAAGGAGAAGCGACAGCTTGGTGTTTTCAGTGAACCGTTTTGTAACGCGCATGTGCGAAAATAAGTTGTGTATCACTCAAAATGATGTTATCTGTCAAAGTCAGTCCAAGTTGTGTTTAGTATGTGAGCAATGTTAAGTGATATTTCATGGTGTTTGTTTTGTGTAGTAATAAGATGAAGATTTTTTACACACTTAGGTATTCTAATACAGATATAAAATGTGCCAAAAAAGTTATTAGGAAACTAAGAATTTTATCACATGTATAAATATTAAGTATAATGATTTAATCATTTTTGACATTTTATTTTTCATATGTAGGTATTGAATTTTCTGAAATATATGTTTGTCTTCTTTTAAATAAATTTAATAAAGAATGAACTGCAGATTTTGTTTATTTTATTTTGAAATTATATTTTAAAAAAATATATAATAAATCCGCGTGTTTCAATTAGGATTTGTCAAAATGGGCGAAATCCCCTTATTATGACTAAATTGTAAGTTACAATTATGTCAATATAAAGATGTTTTGCCCATTCATATTTATAATTATTGAATGAATCATACTGGAGTTGATTTTGGAAAGATTGGTACATACTTAAATAAGTACTATTTCTAAAAATTCGTCTATGCCCAGACAGCACACATAGTCCAATGGACGTACATTTTAGATCCATTTGAGGGTCAGGACGTCCATATCCGGGCATCCAGTGTACGTCCGTTTATGCTAATTAATTTGACAGCTGAATATCGATACCCAGAGAACATCTGTTTTTGGACTTAATTTTAAGTTTAGTAGTATTTTGACGTCCAGCGGACGTCCATCTTAGGTCATTATTTATTAAGCCTAATTCCCATCTATATACACTTCCTTTTTTTAATATAATTGGTTATTAAAAATTGACAAATTGAATCTATTGCATTTCATTATATCACCGAAAGTTTGAAATCTTATTCCATTATAACTATATCTAGTAAACAATAAAAAATGGATGTGTCGTGAGTACGATTCCTGCTCAGGTCAAGCGATCTTTAATTGAATGTCCAGTATTCGACGTCCAAATATATTCCAGAATTGGACGTCCTCTGAATGGTCAAAAGTGTGCCATTTTTATACTTCACTAAACGTCCATTGGATGTCGAAAGTCCAGAAAAAACTCATTATATATCGAATGGACGACGTCCAATGGACATATTTGTATTGTCTGGGTGATAGCCAGGCCAGGGATTTAACTCTAAATACATAAACCTTAAATGACATCTGGCTTATCTTTGCGAGAAAACACTTGTTTTTACAGAAATGAGTAATAAACTTGAAAGTCTTTTTAATATAATATGAATCCAGAAATTCTAAAAATATGTAAGTACTTTTTAAACCTAAAAGCTTTGAAAATATATGCACATTGCAAATATTTAGTTAAACCTCTCAAACTTAATGTCTTTTTAATTGTTACCCTAAATTTTTTTGGTACCCTTAATTTTATTTACCTTATTTTTACTTAAGAAAAAGGTGATTTAATTTAAATATGGGGCTTTTATTACATTTTTTACAATAATAATAATAATAATAAATTCATTTATTTGCAGCTTACACAGAATATGGAACAAAAAAATATAATTGTAAAAAAACACCTAATGTAACACTGCAAAATAGAGCTGGCATACAGTGCCAGCCCTAGACAAAAATTATTTTGTGAAACAGAGTAGCCATATGAAGTCTTCTTCTACATGTCATATCCAACCATTTAGCATCACTTAATTTGTGAATTACTTTATCAATAAATATATAAATAAACCAAATATTAAACAAATTATATAGATTAATTATAAAATAATAAACGTCTTTTACTTTTATAACAAATAAGTAATTATTATATAATGCATTATATTTTGGTGCTGAAATTTCACCATTGCTATTAACCCTAACTACTTCAATGTAATTAAATCACATAACATAATTTGTGCATGGACTATAACAATGTTTCAGATAATTTGCCAAACTATTTCGCTCAGTGTAGAAAATAAGCATGTTTTCTCAGCGTGCTAAGTTGTGTATCAGTCAAAGTCATACTGTGAAAAAGGTCCATCCGATATCAAAGGCACCGACAGCTACTGTCGCTTCTCCTTGATCGGTATTCTCGGGTCCGAACATTTGTTGATGGACTGCGTGCCCACGAAATGCAGAAAACACTCCGCTTAGCCCGTCACAAAACATGTTCGATGTCTTGTCCGCTGCTCTAGAGTATGAGGCAGCTAAGCAGGCTTCTTGAGGATACAGTAAAGTGAGGACTGTAACAGAAGAAGACGTAGAAGATAAATTCGATCAACTAGTTAACATAATGAATAGCTTTACTGATAAAAAGGTGAAGACGAAGACCATCAAGTCCTGGAATTGCGGGTACTCTAAACAACTATTAAAGGATATCTACATTAGATCTGAAAAGGATCTATCTGCAGAACGATATTTGAAATAATGAAGTAGACGACACTATTTGGTTCCAGCATATTTTGGTTTGCAATTACTGGATTTGTTATGCGGTCATTGTTTGACGTTTGGTTGTAAAATGTAAAACAAAAATTCAAAAATCGTTTAAGCCACTATCTTGTCGTTAACGGCGAACATTTTGAACACTTACTTTAAGTAATTTAGGTAATCGTTTAAATGTTTTTATGCACCATTTTGAATAAAGATTTTTTTGAATTTTAGGCCATTTTGCTCAAAAATATCCTTATTACCGTTGTAATCTGAAAAATGGTCTCGTTTAAATTTGATGTAAAAAATTAAGGTTACAAACTTAAAAAAGATGTTGATTTCCTTGGGGGTCTCCGTATTTTTTTCAAGTTGGCAATGAGATCATAAAATTTTAAATGAACTACAAAACAACATTTATTCAAATTATTTTCTATATTTTCAAAAGTTGCACTTATTATTCCACACTTTTGAGCCACCCTGTATGAAAATAAAAACAAAACCAGAATGAATTAATAAATTACATTGGAGTCTTTTTAATTCAGAATATTCACGGACACAATTTTCATTTATAAAAATTATACAAACTAATAAAGGCAAAGTGTACTCACCACATCTATAATTTGCATTAAAGTCAAACCAAAACTTAATTGAAGAGGATCCGATTCGTTTGCGACAGGGCGTTCTAAGACGTTGTAGTGATCTAAAAGCTTATGGAGTAGTTTTTTCTCGTTGTATCCAGCCCAAGATTCTGAAACAATTATTAAATGTGTTAATTTTCATTTATCAAACATCTTATATACTGTAACCGCCTAAATTAACGGATTTTTAATTTTAAATCTAAAATATTTGACGTATTTAACAACTTTACCCCTCAGTGCAGAATAAAAGAAGAGCGTATTGATTTTGAACGAAAGATGATGAGAAGTATTAAGACGATGCATTTTAGGTTTGTAAAGCATTGGGATCACTTAGGCTAAACCACGTAGATGATCTTGGTTTTTAATAACTATTCCATGAAGCCTTTTGATTGGTTTACAAATTGTTTGAACAATTTATGTAAAACTATTTAGGCGCTTTACTTCTTAATTCTGCTCATACATATTTGGGTCCCTTTTCCCTTAAGTATGTCTAAAAATATTTTGTGTTTTCAACCCTTATCTCTGCTTATGTAATATTTTGTCTATTTATACATTAAGCCTATTCATGTAAAAATATTTGTCCGCTTTATCCCTTAAGCCTCGCATATCAAAATATTTGTTTCCCTTACTACTTACTCCTGTCTATGTAAAAATATATTTAAGTAAAAATATACCACTTTACATTGTACGCCAATGGCAAAGTTCCATTCTGTAGTTCATTAAAGGTTGTGCAAAAATTATTGTTACTTCATCATCCTGTATGTTATTCGCGTAAGATCCATGTGTTAATTATTTTAAAACTATTATTATCACTAATGCACTTTTACTCACAATAAATAACTACTCAAATAAAATCTTTTAATAGATGTTCAAACATTTTTATATTTGCCATTTAAGAGTGACAACAATATAGAATAAATATATGTGGTATGAAATAAAAACCCTTTAAAATGTGGTTTTAATGCCCCATCTTCTCATTTAAATTTTTTAAAGGTGTAGGTACCTCTCTGGAAAGGGTGATCTGAGGGGTAAAGTCAAAAAATGTTGAATGAAAATTTATCCGTTACTTTAGGACCTCAATATAGGCAAATATATTTCGATTCTGAACATATACTAGAAAACACCTTATATACAAAAAGCTAATCAACACAACATGCAATTTGAAACGCCAAATTTATACATTTTAAAAATTCGCTTTCGATTCAGGCAATAAAGAAAATGGAACAAGAGCAAAATTAAGAAAGCTTATAATGATGATTGGTATATTATTTTTGAGCAATCACTGACCATAGTTCAGTAGCTCTTTTTTTCTGAATGCCATATTTATCTGTTTTACACTTCTATAGGGTGATTCAATGGAAAATGGACATATGTTAACCGTGGATGGAGGTTATCAAGATGATTCTAAATAACCCCTTTTTAATAGCCGTTTATAACCGTGATTTTTCCTTATTTATATCTTAGGAAAATCCGGTATATTATGTTGATGTTTAGTATACTTATTATCAGGGGCGCAGTTTTTATATACTCGTATGTATATATTTTTAACAATTTAAGTAATTAATAAAAATCCGAGGGGCCCCATCCGCCCCTGCTTATCATCCATATATGTAAAATAGAAAAACCCAATTCTTGCTTGGCTAAAAATTCACATATTTTCCACCCTCAAAACATCTGATGTTTTATAATTTGTGTCCATATTTGAAAAGAGCACAAAAATTTGAATTTAATAATGGTATTTTTACTTCTCGAATTTTTAGTTCAAATTATTGTTTTTTCGGGTTACAAAATGGAATAGGACAGAAGTTTATTAATTCTATATTTTACTACGTTAAATTAAGATTACTTAACCTAACTTTTTAAAAGATACATATTAAGTTGGTTGTAGTTTGCATTTATACTACTGCAAAATCTAATTAAGGCCCGTATTTGGGAAAATAACAAAAACCAATAAGAAGAAACACTCTTAGGAAAAAATAAATAACATTAGTACAAAAACCAATAATACCACCAACTACTGGAAAAAATAAAAGAATTACGATACAACTACATCAATATCTCAAAATAACCGCCATTTTGATGGATACACTCCATAGCTCTTATATTTTTTATTTCTACACTTGTTTCTTTAATTTCCTAAAAGAGTTCTTTCCTACTATTTATTTCGGAAGAATAAACTTTATTTATAAAATATTATTGTCAATAAAATATAAAATTATTTCCACTTATGACATTGAACTTTAGATGATACTTTATTGTTATCCGTTTATAATAAAATATTTAACTAACATCATTAATAGTTCTATCAGTTCCTCAATTTTTCCATTTCAATGGCAAGTTGCGCAAGTAATCCCATTGACTAAAATAAAAAATCCAAATGAATTTAAAGATATACGACCTATTAGTATTCTCTGCACAGCTTCTAAAGTTATGGAAAAAGTTCTTTATCATCAAATAAAAACCTTTCTAGATCGTTATAATATTATTCCTATTAATCAATCAGGTTTTCACCCTAATCACAGTTGCAATACTGCTCTACTCTGTCATGTCATTGACGATATCATTAGAGCTACTGACTAAAATCTACTTACAGTTCTAGTCTTATTAGACTATAGTAATGCGTTTGACAGAATAAATCATGCGATACTAATAGGGCTATTACAACATCTGGGATTTAATGAAGATTCGAAACGTCTTATTGCTAACTATCTTAATAATAGAATACAGTATGTCAAATATAAGGATAAATTATCTTCTTCACTAAACATAGAAAATGGGGGTTCCCAAGGATCTATTCTGGGCCCTTTATTTATACATCTTTATTCCCAGAATCACTAAAGTATTGTAATTTTCACCAATATGCAGATGATACTCAGATTTACCTTTCATTCCCTGCGTGTAAATTTGAAGAAAGCATCACCAAAGTAAATTCTGATTTGAATCTACTTTTTAAATGTCTAGTGACAATTGTTTAGACATAAATCCCTCTAAATCTCATGATATGTTGTTTGGCAGAAAAAAAGACAGAATGAATTATAATTATCAGCTTAGAATTGAAGTCAACAATGAAATATTGCCTAATACAAATATCGCAAAAAACTTGGGTTTATTCCTAGATACCGATCTTCGATTTCTAGAACACAATAATGTAATAAAAAAATGTGTAACGAATATAAAAATGATTTACGCCAACAAATATACACTAGATTGTCGTTCTAAAATTGTATTATGTGATAGGCTTGTATTTTCTCACTTGAACTTTTGTGATTCAGTCTATGAACCATGTATTACTCAATAACCAGCGTCTTCAGCGTATTCAAAATACCGGCATTAGATTAATTTATAAATAAAAAAAAAACAACCAGTTTCTCATAAAAGGAATGAACTGAAGTCGTTGTGTTACAAGTGGACTATTCAGCTATATTGATATACACCACCACCACCACCACCACCATCTGAATGAACTCTTTATTGAAGTGAATAATTATAAAATGGAAATATAGAAATTTACATAAACTGACAACTATATAAAAATATTAAAAACGTCAACTTAACTATTGTCACAAAAATGTACAAAAACTAAAAGTAGGTCTTGCCTTAAGGTCTAATCAAATAACCTTAACACTCCCACTTTTTGAACATTTTAATAAAACGAGAGATAGCCACGCTTGTCTTATGTTTAGGTATTTTGGGGATAACGTACTAAGAATCTTAGTCATAATTGCAGTTTCGCTGATGGTTTCTCTTGTTTCCAGTACTAATCTGGCAATATTTTCAATTTTTGAAACATGTTGAGCTACGAAATCGCTTAACAGATAGATCCATTGCAGAAGTCAGCATGAACATGGCGTTGGCATCTTGTTTCAACCAGTTATCTACTTCCTTAGTATCACTTGGTTTCAGGACTGAGCCGTCTGTTGTGCCAAAAATTCCTTTTGCTCGAAGAGCACACTTCATTTGGAATTTCCATTGCTGATAGTTGTTTCCGTCGAATTTATTTACATGTGAAATGTCGACTTTATCCATTTTCGTCTTCAAACTAGAGTTTAGATTCGGCAAGAAGTTGTTGCAAATAACTCTTCTAGTAATAACGTCAAGTGGAGTTTGGGTGTAATTAAAATAGAGATTTGAGCTCTGGGCCCATAACCTGTTACGAGTGGACCATTCAGCTATATTGATATACACCACCACCACCTAAATGAACTCCTTATTGAAGTGAATAATTATAAAATGGATATATAGAAATTTACATAAACTGACAACTATATGAAAATATTAAAAACGTCAACTTAACTATTGTCACAAAAATGTACAAAAACTAAAAGTAGGTCTTGCCTTAAGGTCTAATCAAATAACCTTAACAGGTTGACGGTAATACAAGCTCGTTTTTGGCATTCCTGTTGCCTATTTCAAAAAATTATGTTATTTAAAACGCATGCATATCTATATAACAAAATTAGATTCAGAAGCGATGTACATAATCTTAATATCCGTAGAAGACATTTTGTATCAATCCCACAACACAAGACTATAATGTTTGAAAGCACTTTGACTTACGTATTTTACAAAATTATTAACCTTCTCCCCCCTGAACTTAAACACGTGTCTGTAAGTATATTAAAGCGTAAAATAAACTATAATATATTAAATGGTGACATGGTAGTATCATTTAACATTTAAAATTTATCAAAAAATATTTTCATTGATTATTCGCATAAATTGATTAGGTATTGTATTATTATTAGATATTAGATACTATGTAACTGTTAATTAATTTGGGTTTTCTCTCTTTTTGAGAGATTTTTTTAATATAATCTTGGTAATTTTCTTTTATACTATTTATATCTGGATATATTGAAAATCATCTTCTTTCATCTTGTATGATTGACGATGAATATGTCCTTCTCAGTTAGCTCATATTTTTGGGAGGTTTTTATTGTATTATTAATTTTTTTATATTATATTTTTGATTTTCTACAATATATTGTTATGTATTATACTATTGGCTTACTGAATAAACGTTATTATTATTATTATTATTATTATTATTAGATTTCAAATATCGAATATGTGGAAATCAATAGGATTAAAATCAGGTGATCTAAAAATA